ACGCTGCACATACGCACGCACTCACACACGCTGCACGTACGCTGCACGTACGCTGCACATACGCACGCACACGACGCACTCACGCACGCTGCACATACGCACGCTGCACATACGCGCGCTGCACATACGCACGCACTCACACACGCTGCACGTACGCTGCACATACGCACGCACTCACACACGTTGCACGTACGCTGCACATACGCACGCACTCACACACGCTGCGCGTACGCTGCACATACGCACGCACTCACACACGCTGCACATACGCACGCACTCACGCACGCTGCACGTACGCTGCACATACGCACGCACTCACACACGCTGCACGTACGCACGCACTCACACACGCTGCACGTACGCTGCACGTACGCACGTACTCACACGCGCTGTACGTACGCACGTACTCACACGCGCTGTACGTACGCACGTACTCACACGCGCTGTACGTACGCTGCACATACGCACGTACTCACGACGCACTCACGCACGCTGCACATACGCACGCACTCACGCACGCTGCACGTACGTACGTACTCACACGCGCTGCACGTACGCTGCACACGCACGCACTCACACACGCTGCACGTACGCTGCACATATGCACGCACTCACGTACGCTGCACATACGCACGTACTCACACACGCTGCACGTACGCTGCACATACGCACGCACTCACACACGCTGCACACGCACGCACTCACGTATCTGCACGTGATCTGCACATACGTACGCACTCACGAACGCTGCACGTACGCTGCACATACGCACGCACTCACACACGCTGCACACGCACGCACTCACGTATCTGCACGTGATCTGCACATACGCACGCACTCACGCACGCTGCACGTATGCTGCACACGCACGCACTCACGCACGATGCACGTACGCACGCACTCACACACGCTGCACGTACGCTGCACATACGCACGCAATCACACACGCTGCACGTACGCTGCACATACGCACGCACTCACGCACGCTGCACGTACGCACGCACACACACGCTGCACGTACGCTGCACATACGCACTCACACACGCTGCACGTACGCTGCACATACGCACGCACTCACGCACGCACTAACGTACGCTGCACATACGCACGCACTCACGCACGCTGCACGTACGCTGCACGCACGCTGCACATACGCACGCGAAGCTGCGACGTACCCTTGCCTGAGAAGGTTCCCGTAAAGTCATCCAAGTCTATTGTCCACACGAGGGCGCCACCGTAGCCATTATCACGGATCCATTTCACCTGAAATATTGTACACGGCGTCAATTGGTCTACAAGATATATTTACGGTTCACGAATGATCGCTTCGTCACCTTTCCATTACTAAATTATTACCAAAAATAATTCATTTCTAAACCAGCTATGGAGATTCGTTCGTGTCTCAGGCATATTACTTCGACCTATACCAACGTAATATAGAACGCGCCTAAACACGTTACGTGTTCGGGCGATCGCTGTGTTGCGCTGATAGAACTAATATAATACGCGATGACGTGAGGTGTGTGCGCGCACGAGTGTGTGTGTGTGTGTGTGTGTGTGTGTGTGTGTGTGTGTGTGTGTGTGTGTGTGTGTGTGTGTGTAGTATATATATATAGTGTGTGTGTGT